TTTTTTTGTTTTAGGATTCTATGAAAAAAAAAAAATAAAAAAAAAAAAAAAAAAAGCATTTACTTATTACTTTTTTTTGTTTAAAAGTAACTTTACAGTCACTTATGATCAATTTAATGTGCCCTTATTTAAGGTCTCATTTAATGTCTTGTTCTGTACTGAACAGGTACAAGAAAATTATCATAATGATCATAATCCTTCCAAAATGAAAGTCTTCCTCATTCTTTAATTATGCAGACTCCTGGTCAAATAACAATGCTCTTTGTCTTGGCCCACTCACAGCAGCTGACACCGTCTCAGAACACAATCACAGCCCAACGTCAGCACCACTCCACACTTACAGACTTCATCAGATCTGCTGGAGCTTATCGGTTTACTATATTCAACCAATTTGCTTGGTTTTAAAACATCTACATACACAAATTAATGTCATCATTTCCTGGCCTACATTTAAACATGATCAATAACTTCTGCCCCTTCATAGTTAATAGCAATAAAATAACAAACATATGTGCATAACTGTCCTGGAGTCATAAAACAAATGACTCCAGAACAAATTAAACAGATGTGATCTGTTCCCAGTGGAGGAAGCGTCAATGAGAAAGCTTTTTATAACCTGCATTTGTTGTGTTTTCTAGGGTGGGACAAAGGCTTATTGTGTAAGGCACAATACACACAGGCAGTGTAGTGAAGTGTGCCATAGGGCTGTTTGCCCACTCACTGCATCAGTACTAGACTGAGTATCATCTATCAGTCCCTACAGGGTTTTGCGATTGCTGAATCAAGCAAACTGCAATTTTTGCAAGAGCTCGCAAATTTTCATTTGAGGAATGCCTCAAGCGTGTGACGGAAATGTTACGCCCCTTACCATATTGTGTTGCCGTCTCCCAGCAGGACGAGACAAAACCATTAAAAATGAGGCATTTGTTGCATCCAGTGGGGACATAATTACTGATTATAATGACTTATACTGTCTTTTTACGCGTTGCGTTGCGTATCGCGCTGCGTAAACATAAAACCATGTCTGCATTTGTGATCGAAGAAATGACAAGCCTACTCTACACTGCTCAAAACTCACGTTTGAATCATCAGTGGCAAATTTAAATATTTAAAAAAAAAACATACTTACAGGCTGTGAGTCAGAAGCGCCAGACTGTCCTTGCAAAGTTGGAACTGCCCAACTTTATAGAAACAGACTTTGTGCCACAGACGCATTGTAGGCTACTGGTTCAGGAAACAGTCCTCATCCTCCATAAAATGCACTGCACACATCTGAATATTTGGGTTGAACTGTTCTGGAACAGTGTTGTAAATACAACTTAACCACTGATTTCTAGTTGCATCCTCGTTTGGAAGGCCAAACAAAGTAGTTTCACTTTCACAACGAAACAATTGTAGCGGAGGCAACAGCAAGAATCAAAGTTACGCCTTCTTTTAATTTAAATTCATATACAAATGTTGTAATTTCTAAATATTAATTACATTAAATTTCAGTGCTTAACTTCATTATTCAGAGTGTCATATTT